GTCTTTCTTATATAAATGAATGTTTTGATATAGTTCCAAATCAAGAAAGAAGTTTTGTTGTAGTGATAGAATTTTCATCATTGTTGCTCTTTAAACCATATGTTCTCAACCTTTTGAGTTTAGCAGATCCTTTCAACATGTACTTTCTTGTCAGATCCTAGTCTAATATAACCTCTAGCTCTTGTAAATATTTTGCTAATTTTCATTTTCTAATAAATCCAAAAAATATCCTCGTCATTTGGCACTGAATCAAGTTGTCAGCACTTTTTTTCATAAAACTGATGAGGATAGCAGCCTCTGCACATGACCAAATACTCAGTACAAATCTGGTTAAAACACTACACATTTTAATATATAAATTTGTGTATATGTACACTAGAAAAGGTCAAAGGTATTGAAGAGATAATTCTATAAATAGGTAGGTGTACTATGTACAGAATTAAACATTGCTTTGATTTGGTTACAGTTTCATGCATTTTGCTACTGTTCTTCTCCCCCAGTTTAGCCCTCATTTGCAACATTAATGCAGTAAAGTTGAAATGGCTTCCAAACTCATTCATCCTGTTGCTTATCTATTTAAACCTGATCTTAAAAGAGGTCCACCTGATTATATCTACCAAATTTCATCAAAGTTGATTCATCCAGTTTCTCATAGTTTGCAACACCACACACACAGATGGACAACTTTTTACTTTATACATATATATATGTGTGTTACTGTATTATCAAGGGCCCTTCCAAAACTCCTTGCAGATCCCCAAACAAGAACCTGTGCTTTATATCAACTTAAACATTAACAGTAGTTAATATACAGCTTTTTTTTACAATTTATTAGTTGATTGTGACATATCTATGTTGTGGCATGAACTTATAATTAATGTATACTAAAAATTAAAAACATTTTTTAACATTAGATGTTCTATTATTGTGTTTCTTAGTTGTCTTTTTACATTATATATTGAGCCTTACCTCTCTCTTCTTCTTCTTCTCTCTCTCTCGTTTTTTCTTTCTTTCTTCAGTAACTTATGGTATCATTCTTTCCAGTTCATAAAAGTTCACATGGATACTTTGGGCATGAGTTCATTGAGATTCCATTATGAAATTTAAATTGTGAATAATTCAAAGTATGCAATGCCATCAGCTTACTGATTTTAAATATCTTTTATGATTTTGTGCAGTTTTTAATTTTTACTCTCTGTCTCTGTGTGAACATATGTGTAATGTTCACATACCAGTATTAAGGTATGTTATTTTCTGACAGATATTTTTATATTGACTTAAAAAATTATCTTATCTTCCAGGCCAGCAGTTTATTGGACATTATTCAGGGTTCAGCCTAACATGCAATAGTAGAGAGAATGCTAGTATTGGAGGAGCTCCATACATCACATCTAGGAATGGTGGTAACTCAACAGTGACTAGCACAACCTCATCATTCCCCCCAACTACTCATTCTTACAATGTGTACCCATATGGTAGTATGTTCATTAGTAACATACCAAGTGGGACCTCCACACACACTAGTCAAAGCCCAGAGTTTATGTCCTCTTTGCCAATACCCTCTTCAGTCAGTGGCATGCCTCTCTGTGTACTTGCACCCAGTGGATCTGCTACTCCAATTAGTCAATCTCCATTGCCCCAGTTTACAGGTGGAGCTGTTGCCCCACCATTTCCTAATTTTCATCCTCAAACTCCACCTTCTCAAAATGGGTCTCAGGGAACCTCAGTTCCATTCATGGGGTACACAGTTTTGTCTCCACGACCACAAATCCATCCACCTAATCCCACAAACCTAACTCCTAACACATCTAGTCTTTCCAACTGTGCAGGGTTTGGCCCTAATTTTATGTCCAACTTTGCATCATTTCACCCAGGATTTCCTGTTGGTGGGAATGTGACAAACAGCACCCCCCATCCACAGGGAGTACTTTCTTTCCAGTATTCCACCCCTGTTCCAAGTGTTAGTAAAAGACACACCAACATAGTCTTAGGCAAACCTATGGAAGCTAGTGGCAGGGAACAGTCTGGACGAAACTTAGGTACAAGCAACATAAATTTTATTATTACTGTATTTGTAACAGTTTTTAAGCCTAATATTTAAGATGTCTGCACCCAGGTTGTGGATATTCAAATCTGATTTGAGGTTTATTGTAGTTAAATATGCTAAGATTTATGCCCTAAAGACTTTAAAATATCCAACCTGTGTGAAAATCACTTCATTGAATACTCAAGCACTTTGAAATTTAATCTGTAATTACATTACACACTCTAAGACTGTTGTTTTACTTAATTATTTTGTTTGTTTTAACATACTTTTTATATATATTTCCTTCAAATATAATGCTAAAAATTTTAATTGCAAAGTAATTTGTTACAGATACATAAGTAAGATTTATAAGAACCAAAAGTTTGAAAATGTTAATGTGTATATGGTTTACCTCTTAAAATGCTTTCCGGTCAGTCTTTGATTGCAAATGGTAGAATAAAATTTAATACAGAGGGTTGAGTGTGTTATAATAAAACAATTTTAGTGCCTCACCACATTATTAAAATCTGTGTCACCATATATGCATAGTTTCTGTTGCAAAAGGATCTGCCTTAAGGATGTTATGTACAAAGCACATCTCTTTTTCCTGCATGGTTTTCATAATCTGCATTATGTATTAGGGTGGCTGTTTCAATAGTCTAATCATACAGAAATCCAATGGTACATTGTCCAGTAACTTGACCAGTACATATTGAGGTATGCAATGGTTGAATGGGAAGGATGACTGAAAGTCTTACCTTGATAAACACATAACTTGTTGGTTTTGTTTCCCTACAAATCTAGTATTAGTGGTATAAAATCTACAGAACATTGGTCTTAAAATAAACGTTTTTACCTTTGTATTCTTTTTCCTGACCTCTAACTTGATCCTGATGCAGTTATCACCAATAATCATGAATTATTTGAAAACGTTTCATAACATGCCATGTGCCACTTTCTGAAATTTATTTTCACCCATTGACCAACAGAAAATGGCATGAGACTTGTCATAATTATTAAGGTCACCACTTACTGCCATTTTCTTATGGCTGTGTACTGTTCATACAGTTTTCTAGAATTGGTTTTCCTTTTGTGGATATCTTGAAAGGAAGCAACTTGTGTACTATTGTCTGGGACACAGGATGGCATTTGCTTCTGAACTTTGTGTTTGTAAATTTTCACCTGTTACAAGATGCTACACTTTGCATATCTTGACTTGTAGGAAGTCTCTTGCTGGATTGTTCTGTTACCCTTAATTGATCCATGTGCCTTTTTGTTTTCCAATGCCATTATGTCCAAAGGATATCCCCATCTTGGAAATTTTAAATCCTCAATCTTAACACACCTTTATGATTTGAAGTATGAATATCTTGCATTGGAAAGGGCTTTTACATATCCTTGTCAAAAGCAATAAAGTTTCAGTGGCATCACACTACCTATAAAATCTCAAACTATGCCAAACTGTAGTTATGATACATTTTGTACCACAATGTCTTTATATTAGTTTTGGTTGTCACATGATTTGATGGTTTACATATTAAAATTGTTTTAATATAAGCTTCTCAACCCCCTGTAATTAAGCTTCTATGTAGAAAAAAAGGAAGCATATGCATGTAATTATAACAGTTAAGCACATCAAGTGTTTTCTTAGATTATATTAAAACTGTGTTTATAAGCTGTTGACTAGGTCTTTCCTTATTCAAATTGTTCAGTGTGGTGTGTGAAATCCAGGCAACACTGAAAGTATATAGAAATTTTTCAAGGTGTAGCATAACAAAAACTGATAATATAGCTACTAGTTTCAGTATAATTTATTCCAAATCAATTATTATATATGACTTTATAGGTATGTTAGATATGGTACTAGAGTAACTACATTACAGTATTACACTTTTTAAATCTAATTTTCTAAAGCAGTTTGAATATTGCTTTCATAGAATGTTATCAAAACTGATATCTGGGTATCGTTTAGTTTAACGACTTTCCAAATGAGCAGAATAATTAGTGAAAAGTGGATACTGGTATTAAATAAAAGTGCTTTGGAGATAATTTTACAATCAAAAACAGATTTTTCCCTTGAATCTAGAAGTTCAAAGGTGTCTTTCTTTATTATTTTTATTAAAACTAGTCAAAGTTTAGTTGTTTAGCAAATGAAAAGATTATATTGGTAAAATTAAATGCTTGATAATATAAGGATATTCACAAGCAAGACTTTCAAAACTAATAACTTTTTGTCTCAGTTTTAAGAAACATTTTCTGATGTGATTATAAATGTTTTGTACCATGATTCTTACCATAATAAAAACTTGTCATTAATTTGTAGAAAACATATCTTCTACACCTATCATATGTTTTTTATGCTGATGTTGCAGTTAAAAATTTGTTGAAAAATTCTGTAGGTAATTTAAAGAACTGCATTTATGAAAAGGTTATAAGTAATCAAGTGTTATTTTATAAAGATGAGGATTTGATCAACCACTCTTTGCAAAGAATATATCAGGGCTTCCCTAATGGTAATCCAGATCTATACAATGAAGTCCTTTAATCTGAACTACACACACACACACACACATTTGCTCAGTTAGCTATATATATTTCTCAGATGTAAATACTGAGTTACAAACCAAACAGGAAATAATTGCCACTTTGTTTTTGAATACGCAATAACTTCAGTCTTTATTCCTTTTAATTAATATGATAAAATAAAGGGAAATGCAGGGACTTATCTGTTTTACAATGAAAGAAGTGATTGAATGCGTTGGGAACCCATGATCTAGATCAATTATTTACATATAATAATTTTGTATAGATCTGACCCTTTTCATAAATACTGTTAGAATTAATTTGCCAGCTTCTTTTTATAGTAGGCCTAGAAATTAATGTACAAGATTGTTTTAATTGCTGAAGTTAGTCATAATATTCCACTATTGTCTTATAGTTTTTTCTTCTTTTATAAACTATGTTAAATACAAAACAAGTTTGTTTGTTATTTAGTTTTAGTTTCAAAGTAATATGAGATGTATTATCTTGTATACTGGACTAAGTGCAAGGTTTAAATAAAAAAAATATACTTGTAGCATTACATCTGTTGGCAAATTTGCCAAAGCAAGTATAAGTAGAATCACTTTTAACTTAAGCTTACTTCAAGATTTTTTTAAAGATACCACTACAATTCAAAAATTTCTTCAAGCCAGGAATTGTAGTTATTTTAAACTTGAGCTGTTACTTCTGTCCATTAATATGATTGTGTAAAAAACTTTAAAATCACAGTTGAGTTCATTTTGAGATTATAGAATAATAAATATGTTCCAGTTTTAAATAAAGTAACTTGCTCTTTCAACATAATTATTCTTTCTAAAATGTCTTGGATTGATAATTGTTACTTTCATGGTAATAAGAATTAAAAAAAAAGTCCGAATGATTGAAATGTTAAAAACCAACAAAAGTAAACTGGGTTTTATTAAATAAGATTTTTTTTCTAGTGCTGAAATATAAGTTTTATTACTGTTTTATTTCTTCTGTCATTGCATCTCGTCAGTTCCCAGTGCCCATGATCACAGTACATTAAACAGGGCTGTACCATTTCAACATGGAATGGTGTCAGACAGTTCAGCTCACAGGAAAGGAGGCCCATTTCTTCACGGTATGGAATGTAATGATTTTCATGTGTCATACTATTTGTTTTTATTTATCTGGGTTTTCTAAATGGATTTCACTTGATTTGATATAATTTACTCACTTACTTTATTGACAATTTATTCTTTACTTTGTTTACAGTAAAGATGAATCTAAATTATTACGGGTATGTTTCTTTAAATTTCTTCATTGCACAGATGGAGAAAAAATAAGTTGAACAAATTAGTTTACAAACTATCATATTTTTACTCTATGGTTTAATATTTGATGTTTTTTTGTTCCTCCAGTAAAGCTGTTTAAATTTGGTTTATGAAAGTAATGTTTTGCAAATTGCTTTGGGTATTGAATAAGTATTTTAAAGTCATTCAGTTTCTTATTTTTTATGTTATACACTAAGAATGTGATGCTTTTGGAATTTGCTGTACTACAAATATCCATAGCTGTAGCAAGAAATATTTACTGGTTTAAATTATCAATATATTTTTTGTTCCTTGTGTAATACAAAGTGAAAAACATTTCAAGCATCCTTATTTATTCTCTAATGGTTTTCAAACTTTGTAAGATAAAATTACAGCTATTAAAAATCTTATTTGACAAAATAAATTGATATTATTCTAATTCTTATGTTACTTTACTTGAAATTTATGCTACTTACAGAATATTAACAATACTAGGTTTTTACTTTGGTTAAGTAGATATTTGCCTAATAAACATTATTAACAAGTATTCATTTCCCTTGGATACAAACCATTTAAGTAACTACTTAGTTATAGGTACAACACTTAAGGCTCCAAAATTATCGTAAACTTATGAACATTTAAAATGATAATAAAGTGTCTGAAAAAGTGTACACTGCACACAGTATCATTGCAATAAGTGACTGGTAGTGAATAAATCTTTCATCATTTCTAAACAAACTTGAGGTTTAGACTTTAGAGATATCAAGTGTCCTATATATCATGGCATGTGTGAATGCATAGTGTCAACATCAGGCACTGCAGGTGACCCATTAGCATTTGTATGTTAACTTAATATGAATAATATTAATCAGAAATTAACTACTTTAATAGTGTATGTAAAAACAAATATAGGTGTTAGGGTTGAAAATGCAGATTTTGAGAAAGCAAAGGTTAAAAACAATTTAAGTTTGAAAGGCTGGCATTATTACTGAATTAATTATTTTAACATGTTTATCTAAACTTCCATCTATATCAACAATGTCTTGCATAGAAGCTTATGGTGTTTTTATGTTTATAAAGGTGTTCTTTGTTAACTACTTTGAAATTTTTCGTGTTATTTGTGATGAATTTAAAAAACAAGATTCCAAAACACTGGAAATTCAAGATTTCTTTGGTATTATTGTTTCTTTAAATGCTT